CTTCCGCATGGAAGTGCCCTCTCAGTTGGGTACTATAGTCGATTTGGTTAAACCACTAGTGAAGAAGCCTCTATCTCAGCGTGAACACGACTACATGCGTTACACTACAGAGGTGGTACTCCTCCATGGTCCCTCCCTACATGCCTTTCATATCAGCCCTTTATAGAAGCCACCACGAGTGCTGCTGCTACTGCTGAGGATAGTGGCGAACCCGAGGCAGCCCATCATCGTGATCATCCTTCGAGGAGGCCCATAGCTCATGATAACATAAGGCTATCAGCTTCGGGCGGATGGAGGTGAGGCCTCCAGAGCAGTTGGTCCTCCTGTATGCCGCCCTTTACAGTTCTTTAATGGAACGATTGGCTCACAGCTACTCCCTCGCCCAAAGTGTCAGAGTTGATGCTTTTGAAACGATGCTGGATGGGGCCATCGAAAGTATGACATGAAACAACGTTTACGGATTAGTATTGTAGGAACTACTGATGTACCCGAGACGATGACCAGGACGGGGACTGTGGGAATAGGGAAGAAGGAAGTTGCTCAGCGGGTGAGACGTATTGGATGGAGACCACGTGATAATGAAGATCAATCTTGCAGTGTTGATAGACAATACAGTTGGAACCTGCATACTTTAATTTTGAACGGCATCACCAGCATACTCCATGATAGTCTGACTTCTTTATCATCATCTCAGATGGGCAATCTATTCGTACAACGCTGTGATCTAAATGTATACAGTGATATGCTGGGTACTCCTGATGTGTTCTGGTGAGTCATACTAGGAGTAGCCTAAGGTACTCCTCTTTGGGTAGGGACTTCAACGAATACGAAGCAGTTTATGATAAGTCCAGACGATATATGGATATTAATAGACGGGTTGAAATACTAAATCAGGTAACACTATATGTGCTAATTCCCACGTGGACATTCCTCTATAAACGGGCTTGTTATGTGGGCAATCATCGATTCCTTTACTACTAGAGAGTGATGCGTGGAAATATAAACTTCAGAGAGGAATGGTATTGAGCCGGTAAGATCATCTATTCAGCGTATGGAGGTCTTGAATGATATGTATACTATGATACAGGAGGAACTACATGTAGCCCATGGTAACAATCTTGAAGTAGGTTGTAGTCATAGTCTGGACCTACTCTGCATCTTCTACGATCTTAGATATGGGTCATCTGGTTGGTAGCTGTAGATGCTGTTATCATTGGTCTTGAATTGTTTCTAACTTACTGGCGTGAACTTAAATGATTAATTTCATCACGTCACTTCTATCGAGTTTCTGAGTATGATACTGGGGAGAGAGGAATACAACAACATCATGGTCTTCTTTATGGTAGCAAGAAGGGGTATAGGCCCCGACAGGCCCCAACGCAGAAAGTACAGTTCATCCCGATAACTCTATGAACACAACATGAACAGTCATAATGCGACTAACATATACGATCATTGTAATAGGTTGCCCTATCTTCCATCACCGCAACATATCTCTGAACACCTCACCTACACATATGAGGTTATTAAGACGAACTATCCTATTCTCTAGCGATTGTTTCACATCATGAAGTATCCGAGATGTTTCAGAAGATACTAGTTGGATAAATTACATACCTACACTTTCGAACTCCAATGTACATATAATGGCCGGATGGACGCTGATAATAGTATTATTATGATAACTCAATAGTAATAACGATATACCTCCTCAGGCATGCTGATCTGAAGACAAGCATTGAAGTCTGTGCTCTTGAATCGCTTCCTCTGGCTCAGCATCATGAACATACTCCTCAGTTGCAACCTCAGCTGTAACTTTGATGAATAAACAAGTTGGATAACAACCCGAGTACAGACTCCCATCGAGAAACTCTTGGATGCCACCAACAGTTTGATGCATAACTGCTACTGCTTTCCCCTTACTCCTTGGAAACGACTATAACTCGATGTCTATTTGGATCCCGAACAGTAACATTACCATAGGCACTACAATCAAGAGCATTCCACCATGTAACACACTTATTAGCTAATATAAAGCTTTAAAGTTTTGCCATCGTTTATTCCCAACCTTATTCTTCTTATCAACCTCCCTCCTAGCCTCCCT